GCGAGGATACAGCATATAAGCGGCATACATAGCCCGGAGGGTGAGTTGGCGCGTTGGTGGAGCGATGCAGGTACAGGAGCGCTTTGTCTTTGCGAAACTGTCAAAGACAACAAGCACGGCAACAGCAACAGCACCAATACACAATAACAGCACCAGCACCAGAAGCGGGAGAAAATACAACAAGATTCTCTTCCACTCAACCCGCACAGTTAACTCACATCTGCCACGTCCGTGGGCTGCATCATGACGATCGTCGAAAGCAACGCGATCAGCGGGAGTACCCTCCGGTACGCCATTAGCACGCCGGCTAGAATGGGCAGCGGCAGCACGATGATCCACACCCACTCGGTGTCACTCTTGGAGGCACGGCTGATGAAGTACACCGCGTAGAACGCCAGGTAGTACGAGTTCAGCAGCATCAGAATCTCGATGGCCTGCTTGTACGCTTTGCCGATCGGCAGGACGAACGCATCTCTCATTGTGATCTCCGGGATGTTCGCCCCTCTCACTGGCATCTCCACTGCAAAGTCCGGCATCGTCGAGCGGACCGCGCTCCCGCCCGCCTCTAAACCCCCGCTACCCTCGCTGCCGTGAACCACCGCCGCTTGATCGGCGTCGACGGCACAAGAATTTCTAGGCGTGTCGGCCGTTGCTCCTTCGTCAAGTGCTGGCCTCACGATCCCGTGCATCGATGCCGCGTGCTGCACGTGGGTCCTGGTTGTCCGCGGTGTGGAGATCGGGTCGGGAAGGAAGACAGAGGGGTCGGGGAAGGGGTTGCACAGAAACGTCGGTCGCGATGTATCTCAAAGTGCGACGAGGGTCGTTCTTCTAGAGGCGTAATTCCTTTCAAGGGTGATTGAGACTTTCCTCACCACTCGATCGTGTTTTCGCCGAACAACGCCTAAATCAGGGGATCCAACATGTCTACCTGAACATATATGACCACTGGAGAAGCGTTTGCTACACAACTCTTCTCACATCGGGGCGACCCAGATCCTCTCGAGGACAGCATCCACCGTTTTCACGGGGTCCTGGGGATCGGCTCCCAGTTTGATGCACACCCTCCTGACCCCCAGCATGCACGCGAAGAGGAGCGACAGCTCCAACAGGCAGAGGACTATCCCGAAGACAAACCACGCCCGGAAGCTCACCGTGCCACTGTAGGTGGGCGCGCGACAGGGGGAGTGGTCGGTGGGTTTGGTTGACAGGGACGTCTGCCGGGTTTTTCCATTGGCTGGGTTTGATGTCGAACAGGATATTTGTGGCATGGCATTCGTGCCATTTAATCAGGTTTCTGAGGACAACATGACCCTTCAGCATCTCACATGACCCAGTGGCAGCACAACAGAGAAATTCTCACCTACAATCCCTTCACCTCTCCCAAGACTTACCCGTCGCGAGACAACCCTACTTGCAGACCGTACGAGACCCAGCGGAAAACGAGAAGTGCCAGCCAGCTGACGAGCGAGACGTTGGCCATGCCGAGAATCTGTCGGTCTGTCACCATGCACGCGTACCTCGCGAAGTCAAAGTTCGCGTTTTGGCTGCCAACCAAAAAACAAGACAGCAGAGGAGGGAAGGCAGCAGCAGCAGCAGCAGCCAGGGATGGCGGCCAATTCCGTTAGGAACAACATCTGCATCCGGCAGGCATCGCAACCAAAAAGAGGACAGGACAGAGCGTTCAAAACAGACAGGAGTACGCGTTTCAGTGGATTGAAAGCGCGATACCTGTCTGCCAAAGAATCGGGTTGCAGGCACACAACGTCCACACACGTTGACCGACTGCGGTCACGCAGGAGTCCAGTCAACACCCCGCCCCCTCTCCCCCGCGCCTTGCTTTGTTTCCCTGACCAGTTTCTCCTTCGATCATCTTACCGGTGCTGCCTAATGAAGACAGAGCGGGCGAGGTGGTACTGCACGGCGTCAGTCCACTTCCAGTTGCTGCCCCAGTGGAACACGTCGAGCGACACGCGACCGAGCCCGAACATGGGGATCGACCACTTGTGCGTGCGCGCGATCATCGCTCTGTAGCCCTCCAGGAGCTTTTCCAGCGGCACGATAGGGGGGGGTAGG